TGTATAACTTTACAACAGCAGCATTGCTTTTACAAAATTTTTTAAAATGCTGTCTAATCGCTCTCGCAGTACCTTGATGTCACACACAGAACAGTCTGTGCAGTGCTGCTTCAGTCAAACACCTTTTGTGTTTTATTAGGAGACGCACAACAGTTCTTCTGTGGCTTTACAGGTAATATTTTCACTCAGTTCTTCTGTGGCTTTATAGGTAATATTTTCACTTACACAATTTAGCAAAACCAGACAATATTGTGTCTAATATATACCACAATATTAATTTCTTATTATTGAATTGTTGTAAATAAATATCACATTTGGAACTGGTCAGTGTTAAAAAAAAATCCTGGGAAATCACTTCATGTAGCCCTAAGAGTGATTAATGATAAACTGTCTGGAAAAAAATACAGTTTTTGGAGAAGAAAAAAAAATCACCCACTGACTTTCAAAGCTAATGACTTTCTACTTTGAGGATCTTGATAGAAATGTAGTGGAGTGAAAAGTACAATATTTGTCTTTCAAATGTAGTGAAGTTAAAGTCACAAGTTTCCACAAAAAATAATACTCAAGTAAAGTACAGATACTCAAAAAGTGTACTTATGTACAATACTCAAGTAAATGTACTTAGTTACTGTCCGCCTCTGGTGGCTTGCCTGTAATTGCACCATGAAACTGGTAAAACAATTTAATTTCTCTGTATACCCATCTTATGTTGGAAAAACAATGCTGAAACTTTTCTTCAGAAAATGCTCAAGTAAGTTTAGCCCTTATTTGTCTTTATATTGTCAAGGCTGTTTATACAAACCGTGTTTGAGCAGACTCTGAGAATATTAGACCATTCTTTCGTGATATGTGGACTTACAGTATAATGAACAGGGTGGCATAAAGCAGCTCTAAATGTAATGTATAATGATCTGCAGAGGAATACTGCCGTGTAAAATATTGCTAGGAAGAGCAGCACCAATCCACACAAATGAATGCGTCTGACACATAGTAAATGCAACAGCGAGTGTGAATCTTATTCCTTCACTTTATTAAAGTCTTGCACCTTCCACTGGACCAGGGCACACAGGGACAGAACATCAAGACAAACAGCCAAATAAAAGTAGTTGCACACAATAAAATGACAGCAAATCAAACAGATCAGGTCAAAAAGACCACAATCTCTCCAGCGTGGAGGTTGAAACGGGTCATTTAAAGTGCTTGAATTCATTCCGCTGTTAGTAAACATCTCTTCTGTCCATACAAACATGTTTTCATGAAGCTATAATGGAGCAATGGTAGCATTCTGACAATGCCGCATACTCTCGGGTCACAACAGGTGAAAAACACGTCAAGACATGAACTATATGGAAGGAAAAATGGGAGATTTTTTAAAAAAGGAGTTCATGGCAAATGTTTATTATTACAGACATATTCATGCCATCAAAGAATCGACCAGGTGAAAAGAACCCAGAGAAAGGCATATACACACATGGGCAGCAAGTCATAAATGTATTTTACACAACAGCACAAGGTCTTTGTATGAGCGCATTTATTTTAGCAATTTGGAAATCTACTACCTAGTGTTATTATGGTGCAGGTAACTGTTTTTGATCATGGTTTTTTTTCACACTGCAGCTCCTCAATGGTGATTTGTTTAAGGAAATCTTTGAGTTTGCAGATATTCCTGAAACGATGCAGTTTTTGCATCTCCGTTTATCCAAAAACGAAAATATTATTACAAAATGTTATTACTTTTTTCAATAGAACACAGATATATTTTAAAGAAATTGTTAACTGTTATTTGTCCATGTGGTCAAAAACGTGAGCAGGGATCATTTTTGTGTCATTTCAACTTTGTCCATTGACTTTCATTAAACAGGCATTTCGCTTCCTTCTTTTGTGTTCCACAGAAGAAAATAGTTATACTTAGGAACAACATAGGGATTTTTGAGTGCGCCATCCCTTTAATTACACACTATTTTTTTCTGTCTCGCCTCATTTGTTAGGAGGCAAACGAAAGAGAAGATGCTCCTATCTGTAAACAGACACCTCATTGACACGAGCAATTCACGTCTGACCACAGCAGACGGAATCAATGTACTTCTGCAACTTTGCATTAGCAAGACGACAACGTATTACGTGGGACCTCTCCTCCTGCAAACATACAACGACAAAAAGAGAGACAGAAAGAGAGAGAGAAATACAAACAATGTGCCTCCAGAGCATTACAAAACAAGCCCTCCATTGATTTTCTGCTTAGTATAACCACAGAGTTGGGTGAGAGTGAAACACACACACACACACACAAATATCCTTCTATTGATTTACTTTAGTTGGTTTTAGACATGGCTGCCTATCTCTGCTTAGGGTGCGTCTAGAAGTATGTGCCCCACGTGAGAGCATGTTTTAATACCCCAATGCCCCTCGTATGGTGGGGAAATGGAAGTAAATCACTTTTGCTTTAGAATAAAAATCCACATTAAAGGTTAAGGGTATATATACTGATATGTATATATACTCTGATACATATATTGCACATAAACACACAAAGGTGGGTTCTTGCATAGTTGAAAATCATAGTACGGATAAGTCCATGTGCTTCCATGCAGTAGATCTTGTTGTATATTTGTGTATTACTACTGTGTGCATTATGCATCAAGGCATGCCAAAAGCACAAACTCAAATCATTGACAATCTTATCAACCTTCTGAGACACATTTATGTAATCTGACCTTCCCTAAGGAAACCAAACTAGAAACCATCTTCCTTAGAAAACACCCAAAAGCAACCTCATCAAATCAATCTAACTTTACGACAAAGGACAAATGGTCCAGTTTTTCCATAAATGGTGCTTTATTTATTTATTTATTTTAAAGTAAAGCCAAAAATAAGTTAGTGCAACATCAAGACAAAAATCT